TCATACTGCAGGTTAGATACTGACCACTTTCATACTGCAGGTTAGATACTGACCACTCATACTGCAGGTTAGATACTGACCACTCATACTGCAGGTTAGATACTGACCACTCTCATACTGCAGGTTAGATACTGACCACTCATACTGCAGGTTAGATACTGACCACTCTCATACTGCAGGTTAGATACTGACCACTCATACTGCAGGTTAGGTACTGACCACTGTCATACTGCAGGTTAGATACTGACCACTCATACTGCAGGTTAGATACTGACCACTGTCATACTGCAGGTTTGATACTGACCACTCTCATACTGCAGGTTAGATACTGACCACTGTCATACTGCAGGTTAGATACTGACCACTGTCATACTGCAGGTTAGATACTGACCACTGTCATTCTGCAGGTTAGATACTGACCACTGTCATTCTGCAGGAGCTGACGCAGCGACTGCACCGGCTGCAGGTAGAACGAGAAAACCTGGAGTCCAAGCTGGAGGCAGAGAAGCACGTGATGCGAGCTCAGCTCCGGGACCTCATGGAGAAGCATGAGGTGCAGGTCCAGAGACTGGCCCAGCAGCATCAGGCACAGATGGAGCAGACCCAGCAGGACCTGTTGGGACAGCTGGAGGAGCTCAGGAGAGCCTCATCAACAGCGCCGTGTGTCAACGAGCAGACGTCAGGAGGCGGAGCCCCGCCCACAGACTCCGCCTCCATCCAGAGGATCACTGATCTGGAAGGTGACTTGTCCTCCTTTATTCCAGTAAATATCCATTTCATGTCATCAGGTCAGTAACTTGTCCTGTCTTCTGATTTCTTACAGCTCAAGCGAAACAAAAAACAGAAGAAGCCAGTAGATCTGAGGCCAAGTTCCTAAAAATCAAAGCTTGGTCCAAATCTCGAATTAAGCAGCTGGAGGAGGAGCTGAAGAAAAGCCAGGTGAGCCAGGTGTTCTGCATGAACATGTTTATCACCAGCAGCTAACAGCAGACCAGCCAGAACGGTTTTATGTGTTTGGTACCATAAGTTATGACAGGACTCTGACCTAACCACTGAAAACCTGGATGAAATAAAAACATGACACAAATAAAACACAGCTGAGTTTTTTCATTAGTTTTAGAGAAGAAATGTCAATATATCGCCTTGCTTACAATATTACAAAATATTGCGATATATCATATTGTGACCCTGTGTCATGATCTGTGCCGTATCACCAGATTCTGGCCAAAACACAGCCCCAGTGACACAGTTAGGTTTGACCTAAACAAGCCCAGCTTGGTCACTTCCTTCTGAAGTAAAAAACATAAAACACATTAAAGTAAGGACYCATGATAACTTGTGTTAGTGAATTATCTGTTTTAACCTTAAAGAATGACTTTTTCTGATCGGTGTTAAAGGTCTTTTTATAATTAATGTGCCTTATTTATAAAGATGGCCATTTGAGAAATATTTTAGTTTAATATATTTAAAGAAATGTTTGTTTGCTAAGAGTTTATTTCAAATAATATAATTTACAGTGTCATTTGGTTTTGGTCTTGTTTATTTTTGTCTTGATCTTGTTGAGAGTTATGATCTCCTGGCATGTTATCAGTTATTATTGGTTATCGACCATTAGAAGGAGAAAGTTATCAGTATCGGTTCTTAAAATAAGTTAGATTCAAATTACATTTGTTTTTATTATTATTAATCTATGATTTAAAACATTTTTCTACCTGAAACAGCTTCTGAGAGTGTGAATGCATTATGACCGCATCATACTTACAGGAAGACACACAGAGAGCAGCAGCTCGTCTGGTAAACAGTGGCTAACGATGGTAAACCGTGACTAACGATGATAAACCATGGTTAACGATGGTAAACCGTGGCTAACGATGGTAAACTGTGGCTAACGATGGTAAACCGTGGCTAACGACTGTAAACCGTGGCTAACGATGGTAAACGGTGGCTAACGACGGTAAACCGTGACTAACGATGGTAAACCGTGACTAACGATGGTAAACCGTGGTTAACGATGGTAAACCGTGGCTAACGATGGTAAACTGTGGCTAACGATGGTAAACCGT